TAGGGAAAGCCCTAGGGAAGCCTCTGTCTGTGCCTCGCAACGAGTGGCACTGCGGATCTCCAGGGCCGTGGGGAAGCCGGGTAAGGCCCGAGCCCCTTTGCTCCATGGTGTTGCTGCCCGTGTCCTGCCGGCATTCCAGGCCGGCATCTCCCCGTCAACACCGTCTCGTGGCAGCCTCTGGAGATCCAGGACCACAGCGGGGGGCAGCACACTGTCGTGTTGCCCATGAACTCCTCTTCTGGAGTTGGTGGAGTCCACCGTGGGATTTGGCACTGAGCTGGCACTGATAGCGGAGCTGGAGCGTGACTTCCCAAAAGAGGGCAAATTTGCAGAACGCCCCCCCTGCAGCACTGGGCAGCCCTGCCCCGTGAAACGGGAGGTCACTGTGAATTATCACCAACACCCTCTTGCTGCTGGGGCTGGAGATTAGGGAGCTGTTTCTTATCGCGCTGGCAGCTCCGCGGCCGGCATCCTTCGCTCGGCTGGGAACGGGGACGAGCGCGAGGGCAGCGGGGCTTGCGTTTCGGTTTTGCTCACTGAAGAAATGAGTAAGCGGCAGTTTGCCTTTTCGTAACCGTCGCGCTGAGACGGCGCTCAGGGCTCGGGTTTTGCTTTGGGCTTTTTTTTTTAGCTCATCTCAGGGCATGAATCTGCTGCTGGCAGGACGCAGCCGTCCTCTAACGCGGCACAGAGCAGCCGCGGGAGCCGGCGCTTCTGCCAGCGGTTCTTGCTGGAGCTCATCTCTTGTGCGTGCAGAGCTTGCAGCATCAGCTGGTAGGGGAAGAGGGAAAACCCGTGCGTGTGTGTGTATGTACATGCAGAGAAACCAAGGGTGCTCCCTGTGCCGACAAGGTGGCATTCAGGTGGAGCCCCCCTCAGAGCTGAACGTCACAGCCCCAGGCTCCACGCTCAGTTTTCAGTCTGGCTTCCAAACCCGACCTCGAATCCTGTCTGCATCCACTGGCCAAGCCGCTCTCAGCCCTTGGGCACCATCCGCCCCAGTGCCCGGTCACAGCTGGTGCTCCTTGGGCAGGTCTGTTTGCAGCCAATGCCAGCAACCATTTCTGGCAACCTAGGAGGTGGCTACAACAAAATAGTCATGCACTCTCCATCTTTATTAGACCTGTGACCTGGCTAGTGTCAATGCACATAAACATTTGGATTACTTCTTTTCTTGTTTCTGCAGACTTTCTCTGCAGCAGCGGGCAGGTTGGGCAGCCCATTGGGCTCGCTGGAGGGGACACCACGTGGTGGAGATGACCCCAGGGAGCCAAGCGGACAGGAAAGGGCCAGGAGCACGAGGCCACGTGCTGCGAGGTGGAACCAGAGCCCATGGCCGCAGTGTGTCCTGCTGTCGGCATCGGTGCAGTGCCCCGAAGGACTCGCTGGGGCCACGAACGATCTGCTTTAACGCAGGGCCTCTGTCACGGCTGTTCCAGCACTGCTGGCGCTGCATTAAATCGCCGGGCTCCTACAGCTCTGCAAACCCTTTGTGAGCCATTTTTGTGTTTTCGAGCGCAATCAGCAAAAGGAGGATGTGCTCCTGTTTTTCTGGAAAAGGAAAAATCCAGGGGGCCGGAGCGCCCCGCACGTTCAGCAAGCACGGGCTGGGTGAGCTCCCAGACCCGCGCGGCCGCCCGCGCCGCGCGGGACACGTCTGAGCAGCTGCCATGGCTGTTACTGCAATAAATCCAAATTATCATCTAATCTGCAATTCATCCAGCATCTTCAGGGCAGGTTTTATATAGCAGAAGTTAAAAATACCAGTTGAAATAAAGTATTGCGATATATTCTTTATAATTTTATAGATAGCTATTCACACAGAGATATGAAACGGAGAATTACTTTGCTGTACTAAAACTGCATAAATAAAGAGTAGTATGACCTGCTGAAAAATGCTGTGTGGAGTTTTGGTGTTGTTACCCTCCCCTTTGGGCTTGTTCTGCCATATGTCTAAAATTGACAGTATCTGTTAATTTTAGAGCCAAGTCTCAGAAAATTAATAATGCCCTTTATTTCATTTTACCAAGCTCAAGCGTTACTTAATTATAAGGAGCTGGAGTAAACATAACTGAATGTTATTACTGAAGAAAGCAAGTGGATCTCTCTGTCTGTCTGCACTAAACCAGCAGTGTTTATCTACAAGTAGAGATTAAAGGGAAACTGCTCAAGCATGCTTAGGCTGATTTTAAAAAAATCTTTTGCATGTTAAATGTAGTAAGATGCTTAGTGCTATTTTCAAAATGAGGGACTCATCTAGCTCATTTGGAAAATGCTGTGCTCACTGGTTTTACATGTCTAAGGACTTTTTAAAAATCTGGCTCTAGGATTTTTGGCCTCATCGATTCGATGGGCTTTCGTGTGAAGTTTGCCTGAGCCGCTTATCAAAACGGGCAATGACCTTCCCTATTGCTCCAGTCCCTTCTATCATTTCAGCCTAGGTCTCTTCAGCTCCTTTGCTTAACATGGGGTATGCTGGCTCTTGAAAGAAGGCTGTTGCCTTTTGCTACTAATGCTGATGGTGCAGGTAGCAAGAAGAAGCGATTTCTTTTGTAGCATAGGGGATTGTAGTTGGTTTAGTTTCCCCTCCTTTGTGCAGGCTCGGGACGGTCTCCGCCGCAGCCTGCGGGCGAGCGCAGCCATTCCAGCGCAGGGCAGCGATAACGGCCGCCACGCGGCTATCGGGCTGACCAGAGACTTTGCCAGGAACTATCTAGTAAAACACATGACGCTGCCCTCACCCCCCGGCCGGGATGCTGATACGTGACGGGCATTCATGGCGCACTGCACAGCCGTCAGTTGACTTTGTTATTTAAACTGTTTTAGTGATGGTTTTTAATCCCAGGCTTAAGTTTTTCTTTTTCTTTTTTTTTTTTCTTTCTTTCTTGTCCCTCCCGCCTTTTATTTTTTTTCCCCTCTGTTTTTGAACAAGGGAATCTCTATGTTGGCAGGATTTACAGTGGCACAAAGAAGGGAAAAATAGGGGGAAAAAATAAAGAAGAAGAGGCAAACAAAAGGGATGCTGTTAGCAGTCCCCGTATATGAGGGGGTAAAGCCCATTTTGCCGTGCACTTTGGTTTGCAGGGCACATGTCCACAGCAGCCCGGTCGCTATGCAAATAAACACCCTGCTCGGGCTCTGATTTTGGGTCTTGGCGGCCGGTGCCGGGGATGGCGGGGGGCGATGGGCTCTGGGATGGGGCGCTCGGCCGGGGTTTCCGCCGGCCCTG